CGCTGCCGGCAGCCATTGGTAACTTGACACACTCCTTCTGGTCATGTGTTCAGCTTCACTCATTTTGGAAGAACATTTTTCATTTTTTTTCATCAGCTTTTGGAAAGAAATGGGACCCAGAACCACTTATTGCAATCATTGGGGTCTCCAGTGCTTTGCGACCAGCCACTAAGCAGGAAAAAACGGCTGTTTTATTTGGTACAGTGATTGCCAAAAGGTTGATTTTGAGATTTTGGAAAAAAGACTCTGTGCCCACATTTGATCTCTGGTTGGGGGAACTAGCAAATACTCTGCATCTGGAAAGACTGAGATATTACAATGAAGATAAAGTCAGTGTGTTTGAGAAAATATGGAATCCTGTATTAAAATCCCTTCAATGAAAAACTGATAATGACAGACCTGCCACAGTTGAGATCTTGTACTCACTTTGTGATGTACTTATGTTGTTGACTTTGTAAGAGCTTTATGATGTGCCGATTTGGGAGGGTAAGGAATGGGTGGGAATTTGATCTGTTATGTTAATCTATGTATGTCAGTATGTAAAATTTAATAAATAAATAAAAAAAAAAAAAAAAATGTTTTCAAAATATTGACTTAAAAATGTAATAGTGGGTAGTGGGTACCATAATAGAATGAATTGCCACTTTTTTGTGTCACTTGGTCACAAAGAAGGGTATGTATTTACATCTGTTTGGCAGGAGTGTTTGCTTCTAGAATCTGCAAGAACGGTTTTTTGAAAAAATGCTACAAAAAAAAAAAGTTTTATCAGCTGTAACCTACTGATCCTCCCAGGCCGGCGGCATCCGAACTCTTTCAGCTTCGTCGTACAAACAAACAACCACTTCCAAATCCAGTTTATTAAACGTTTCATGTTTATACACAGTAAGTGTCGACATCATTGGTTCTCACTGATACTGATCTATTTTGAATTTCAACTATTTTTTTAACTCTGTTTTTTTTCTTTAACCCTCATTGTTTAGGGTACTGGTGCAGGAACAGTGATGTCACAGTGAACAATGAACATGACATCACTCATGATATAGTGATGTCATAGTCAAGGATTTTGACTCTGTCACAGACAGACTCGCTCGAAGTCATTGCGTTCCGAGAGTTCCAAGGTGAGAGTACTTTCTGAGATTATACGTTTGTAGTCGTGAAACGATTGACGTGAAGCAAGAAGAAAATGAGCCAATCAACTCAAGAATCGGAGACCAAGAATAGGTCAGATCAGATGACTGACAAGGATCCCCGATCTTTTAAGAAACAGCAAGAGGACAACCGAGGAGAGAATGTTCCGTCCAAGGAAAAAGTGCAACGTAATGACAAAGATTTACGGGCACAACAAGACAGCGTATCTCAGCTGAAGAAAGGAGGTGAAACTGCAAGAGGCTAAATGTTTCAAACTTTCAAACAAAAATAAAAGCGCTTGAGACCAAACTTCAGGAGAGTGAAAATAGAATTCAGGAGCTGGAAGGTCAGTTAAAAGCCATGGATCGAAGTCTTGGGGACAAGACAAATGCCCTAATGGCTGAAACCGCGCGGCGGCGCGACCTGTCTGACAAAGTGACAACACTGAAGGTGTACAAAGATCGAGCGTTGGATGCAGAGAAACAATTGAAAGAGCTTTCGGAGGAAAGCCATAGACTAAAAATACAACTAGACACGTCTCTGCAAAAAACAACCTCATCTAAAAATGAATCAGAGGCCCTGAGAGCTGAGCTTAAAAAGCAGACGGATTTGTGAGAAATAGGGATAACACGATTACTGCTCTTAAGATCGCATTGGATGTAAAGGAAAAGCAAATAGATGTTCAGAATGAGGAGCTTAAGAGACAACGCAAACTTGCACAAGAGATAGAACTGGAGGCGAAAAGAAATCGCCAGAATGAAGAAGCATCAATGAAGCGACTAAAGCACAAAGATGATGAAAATTTGAGCCTACGAAAGGAAATCACATCACTAAACAAGGCTGTGTTTGAGTTTGAGAGGAAGTTGGCAAAAAAAGATTTGAGATACCACATCCTCCAGGACAAATATCAAAAAAGTATGGCAGAAAATGCATTTCTGCTGAAAACTAACCAAGCACTGGAAACTACTAGAGCAAATCTTGATAGAGAAATTGCTGAAACCCAGACACTCCTCCAAAGTCCCAGCAAGTGAATATGCTTCTTAAGAATCGAATGGAGAAGGTCAAATAAAGCTGACTGATTCGATTAAGCGCGGCAAGGAAAATAAGATCAAATTGATAAAGACCTGCTGCGTAGAAAGGTGGATTATATGAAATGAGGAGGCAGAGAGAAGATGCTCTGACAAAAAACAGAAGAGCCACAGAAGCACTACACTGTAATGAACGTAAAATTGGATTACAGACTGATATAATTCGCGAACAGGAATGTAGGATTATAGAACTATGCAAGGAAGTTCTGAGACTCCATGGGAATGCGCAGAAATTTAAAATGGTTCAAGAAACCTATTCTAAGGTGGAAAAGTTAGGGCTTGATGATGAAACAGGAGATCTTATAATTCTCCCAGAGGACAACGACGACTGGAAAAAGAAAAACTCAGACTGCTTCGCTCTGAGAACCAGAGATTGTCCGAACTCCTGGAAAGGAGAGAGGCAGAAATTAGGTATCTCAAGCGTGAGCAGAAGAAACTGAAGAGTATGGTGCACAATCTCAGGTTTCAGCTTGACCAGCTGCCGGAAAATACATTGGATACAGTGCAGGAGAGTCAGAAAAACGTTAGAGAACTCAAAAGACAGATACAAGCCCAAGAAGCAGAGATAAGTGTGTGTGTATCAAAAATAAAAATGCAAGAAATGAACAACAAAAAGTTGAGAAATAAGCTGACAGAAATCACATTCATAAAGAAAGATATACTTCCGCCGATTCCGTCAAACAACATCAAACTGAAATCTGAGGACACAGACGTAAAGACTACGATAAAACCCCGAAACATCGTTTATCTACCGCCGCTTCAAATCAGTTCATATGGAAAGGGAAAAAAGTAAGAGGAGGTGGTTATTTATGCTTGACTGAAGGAATGATAATATTTGAGAAGGATGTAGGTAGAGCCTGGATGCAGAAAAACAATTGAAAGAGCTTTCGGAGGAAAGCCATAAAAGCCAAAATACAAGGGGAGGGTCCTGCAGCTGATAAATGCCGGCTGGCGAAGCAGCATGCAGGATATTATAGGGTTGAGCTCGAGTGATTGCTGAGTGATTGCTGAGGGAAAAACTCGGGCATGGGAGGAGTATGGACTAACCATGGAGAAAGACTTCCAAGACGAGGTCTCGCAAGTCCATCAGTTATGCTTGACTGATGGAATGATAGTATTTGAGAAGGATGTAGGCAGAGCCTGGATGCAGAGAAACATTTGAAAGAGCTTTCGGAGGAAAGCCATAGACTGAAAATACAAGGGGAGGGTCCTGCAGCTGATGAATGCCGGCTGGCGAAGCAGCATGCAGGATATTATAGGGTTGTGCTCGAGTGATTGCTGAGGGAAAAACTCGGGCATGGGAGGAGTATGGACTAGCCATGGAGAAAGACTTCCAAGACGAGGTCTCGCAAGTCCATCAGTTATGCTTGACTGATGGAATGATAGTATTTGAGAAGGATGTAGGCAGAGCCTGGATGCAGAGAAACAATTGAAAGAGCTTTCGGAGGAAAGCCATAGACTGAAAATACAAGGGGAGGGTCCTGTAGCTGATGAATGCCGGCTGGCGAAGCAGCATGCAGGATATTATAGGGTTGTGCTCGAGTGATTGCTGAGGGAAAAACTCGGGCATGGGAGGAGTATGGACTAGCCATGGAGAAAGACTTCCACATGGCTTCAAGGTAATTCTGGTCCACCATCCGGCGTCTTGGGAGGGGGATGCAGTGCAGCACAAACACTGACTTATAGTGGGGATAGTGTGCTGCCGACCTCAACTCGGGATGTTGTGGGACAGTGGCCAGAGTACTTCGAAGACCTCCTCAATCCCACCAACACGCCTTCCTTTGAGGAAGCTGAGCCTGGGGACTCTGGCTTGGGCTCTCCAATCTCTGGGGATGAAGTCGCTGAGGTGATTAAAGATCTCCTCAGTGGCCGGAACCCAGGGGTGGATGAGATTCGTCCAGAGTTCCTTAAAGCTCTGGATGTTGTAGGGTTGTGTTGGCTGACATGACTCTGCAATATCGCATTGACATCGGGGGACAGTTCCCCTGGATAGGCAGACTGGGGTGGTGGTCCCTCAGTTCAAAAAGGGGGACCAGAGGGTGTGCTCCACTTATGGAGGGGTCACACTCTTAAGCCTCCCTGGCAAGGTCTATTCAGGGGTACTGGAGAGGAGGGTCCGTCGGATAGTGGAACCTCGGATTTAGGAAGAGCATTGTGGTTTTCGACCTGGTCGTGGAACACTGGACCAGCTCTACACCCTCAGCAGGGTCCTGGAGGGTGCATGGGTGTTCGCCCTATCCGTCTACATGCTTTTTGTGGACTTGGAGGGTTCTCCGGGAGTATGGGAGTATGGGGACAGCCCTTTGATATGGGCTGTCAATTCCCTGTATGACCTGTGTCAGAGTCTGGTCCACATCGCTGGCAGTAAGTCGGGGGGGCTTCAAGAGGAGGAGTTTATGTATCTTGTTCATGAATGAGAGAAGAAGGGAGCTGGAGAGCGACAGGCGGATTGGTACAGCGTGTGCCGTGAAGCTGGCGCTGTACTAAAAAAGCGAAAAGTGAAGACTTTATGGACAGAAAGCATCTCTATTCTGCCAATGTACAACTTATGCACATGATCTACTATTTAGAATAAATGTCTAGAGTCCCACTCAAAGGACTTTCTGACACGCTGTCATTCTTCAAATCCCTGCTGGACGCGATGCTGTTCTAATAGGGATTTGCATAATCTCTTTATTTATTTTTAATTTGGATTTTTTTTTTTTTAAATGCATTATTTTTGTTTGTTTGAGGTGACCTTGTGCCCTGAAAGGACATTTTGCCTTAAATCAATCAATCAATCAATCAATCAATCAATCAAATTTTATTTGTCTTGCACATTTCAGCAACAAGGCATTTCAAAGTGCTTTACATCATAAACACAAAAACAGAATTGTTGTTATTATAAATACTTATTGCTACAAACAGATTTATACTAATTTACATATTAAGGGTGGCGAAAGGGCTGCTACTGTCTAATATTAGACAGTAGTCTCAGGTCATTAACATGACCTGAGAGAAAAAGGTCATGTTAATGAAACATAACATTAACATTAGCACAAACATTAGCAGTGCACTACTGCTTATGTTTGTGCATTAGCAGTAGTGCTACTTAGTGCACTACTAGTGGTATTCGCTAATGCTAATGCTAATAATTAGCTAATGCTTATTGGCATTTGCTAATGCTGATAATTAGCTAATGCTTATTGGCATTTGCTAATGCTAATAATTAGCTAATGCTTATTGGCATTCGTTATGCTAATTATCATTAGCCTTTTCCTTGAAAAAAGCTTTTTTCTTATTAGCCATTCAGTGTACTCCATTAGTACACTGAATGGAGGAAGTCAATGTAAGACAGCATACGAAATGCTGCTAGTGACTAGCAGCATTTAGGCTAACATTAGCATTTTGGCTAATTTTAGCTAATACACTCATTTCAACATACTGAATGGGACAGGTCCATGTTAGTCAACATGCTTGTGGTTCTCCACATGCTATTTAGTAATTGCTAGCTAAGCTAGCATTGATGCTAATTTTTAGTATCAGAACGCTGGGTTCCAACTGAAGGGCACACTTTGGCAGGCCCTGGTTAAATTTCCAGGTATTTCCAGTTGATCGGAGACTTGTGGATACATTTTCTGTAGTGGGGGAAAAAAACTACCCAAGAAAAAACAACAGGGACATTTGAACAACTACCCTTTCAAAAACCATCTCTAAGACCCTGATAGTTAAAGGACTCAACTGTTGCTGGTTTGCCCCTCTACCACAACAAGCCAATTTTCCTTCTGTGTAGAGCAATGGGCTTTAAAAATGTCTGTTTTTAATGTTTTTTTTTAATAGTTCATTTAAAACACTTTATAGAAAGAAATTATGATTATCTTTTTATTAATTGTTCTCCCCCCTTTATTGCTGCATTCCTAACTTTAGCTGAATAGTCATAAAGCAGTTGTATCAGCTGATATGAACCCTGCATGTTCTCCACTTGATGACGACAACTAGTAAAACTATAAGAACTAGCGAATTCTCCACTTTAAATGGCCTCCAGATGGTTTTCCCCCTGCAGTGAAAGCTCATTCAGAAGGTGAATCATTCTGTTTCACATGACTTATTTAGAAATGCTTATCGGGGGTTTTCTGTTGACTCCGCCCTCAGCTTGCGTGAAAATGACATGTTAGCTCAAAACCTACCACAGCATGTGGTGTCAAACTTGTAACCAAACCCTGCTGTGTTAAATGACCCCGAGCTGCTCTGGCTGATTTAATATCCAGCAGTGGGTGGAACAACAACCTGAAGTGGGTCACTTTAACCCACCTGATGATGGGACGTTATCTCCTCAGGTTTATCACTGTTCATCTCTCCTATGTTAAAAGATTAGGAACTCATTTTGGGAAGCATTTTTTCTTGTTGCGCTTGAAGTTTGCTTTCCAAAGTTAAAACACGGTCAGAAGGAGGGATTACTGTAATGGAGAGATGCCATTGGCCTGGCTTCCTTACACTGACAGCGGTTTAATATTAAAAGTGATCAACTTTATGTTACTGAGTTGAATTGTATGTAATTGGATTTGAACCTGACCACAGCTAATTATTAAATCTCCTGGCAGATTTATGGGTTTAAAGTAATCTTAATATTTTTGGAGTAGAGAATCTGTGAAATTGTTAAAGATTAAGGTAATGGCATGGAGGCCGTCCAACCCCGAAGAGGTGGAGATGTGTTTCTGTGTCGCTCTAAACACACCTTAAACATTTAACAAAATTTTCATATTTTGCTTCTTTGTTTGAAAAACAAAAAACCCAAACAAACATGGATGACATAACCTTGAAGCAAATGAAAAACAGACACTTGATTTGTTCCACTTCAATTTTCTATAATTACATGTACAGTATTTGCTTGACCACATACAAAAAGAATTTTCTACTCTCCATTTCTAAACTTTATGTTTGCATCTCTAAACTGTTTGGTGCTCAGTCCAGAAAGCCTCAACCCCCCCAAAAAAGAATCACAAATGTTATGTAACATAACAAACTGCGGATCAACAGCTTATCGTGACCCTATGAACTTTTAAGTTGCTGACAACATTTAGTAACTGAGAAAATATAAAATAGGAGTAAAAAGGTTTGAATCTGAACACATTTCTTCATGCCTGTTTGTGCACGTCCTTTATGACGCTTGCAGGATTTCTTCCTGATTCTCCTCAGAAGTGTTTCCATCGGATGGCGGAGAGGATGGCATGGATGAAGTAGAGGAATGTGGTCGCAAAGGCAAACACCTTCAAAAACAAACAAAAAACACAGAGTCAGAGCCATGAGTTGGGGAAATGTGGTTCTGTAAATGAAGCTGTGTTTACAGGTCAGCATTGGGTAACACTATATTTGAAGGGGTGGGAATAAGACGGACGGACATAACACCTGTTATGAACATGAAGAAGTTTTTATAAATGTTATGACTGTTGTCATTAAGAGTCATTCGGCAAATAATAAAACTTTTACTGCAAAGTTGTACTGAAAGTTGCATTAAAAGTCCACTAAAATACGCAACTGTCGCAGGTTCGATTCCCGGCCTGGTGACCTTTGCCGCATGTCTTCCCCTTCTCTCATGACCAAATTGTTTAGTAAATTATGATATTTTTAATGCAACGTTGTACTAAAACCTGCATTAACATTCCATTAAAAGAGTCGACTTTGCAATAAAAGTGTCATTACTTACTGAATGACACTTCATGACAACAGTCACAAGCATTTATGAAGTCTCCTTCATCTTCCATTACATTGACAGTATTTGTTTTGTTTGCGTCTTTTTCTTTTCCATACCGCATTGGATTAGTTTAGATGAAGCATTGTTGCTGTCGCTATGACATTTCAGAAGCACAACATCACTCCCGAGGTGTTAGAGCCTTTAGAGGTAATAATAAACTGCAAGGTGTCTCAGAGTTGTGAAGCTCATATCGCAGTTTTTTGTTATGCTCAAATAACTCTGTGGCTGTGAATAAACTATGTGTGCTTCAGTTCCAGAAATCTGCGCCACAGAAATGCAACACAGATGTAGAATAGAGTTTATCTTTGTCGCAGATGTATAATAACTACCATACAGACTACAGTTGTTATGCGAATGCACAAGGACAAGTTCTTGTGCTCTTACAGGGAGATACCGTAAACAGTCTGACAGTAAGAAGAGGAACATCTCACCACTGCTGCAATATCAATCTGGTAGAATCGTAACGGCGGAAGTGATTTTCTCAGCAAAGTAATGTAAGCCAAGGCCACTCCCGCACTGAGGTAGAAAATCACTGCCAGGCCGTGGTAGACAAAGTCCTGCACATCCAAAACAAATACAGAGCAGTTACCCTCATTGCTACTCTTATGTCTTGTTTTTATTCCGCCTTCACGTTGTGTCGTGCTCTTACAGCGGCGGCCCAGCCGGGGCTGCTCTTGTGGCAGCCAGCAGCAAACATGATCATCCACAGGAAGGTCATGACGAAGCAGAAGACCGAGACGAACATCACCCACCCCAAAGGGTTGACGGGGTCGATGTGGGTCGACGCCACCAGGATCCACACCAAGCCTCCGAACACCTGGACACAACAAGTAGGAGTACGAGAAGGAAATTTTGATGAGAAGCTTACAGCCACTCATCATCAGCATGGATGCCATGTTGCCTTTAGGGTTATAATGACGCATTTGAACCATGTATTTCCATAGTTGAAGAATTAATTATAAATCAACCTCAATGAATTTGAACTCACTTATGACATGTATTCTGGGGGGACGAGGGGTTTAGCTATTAGCAAAGTTCATGCCTTATCTGTAAATCCTTTTATGTAAATCTGAGGTTTGGACCATAACCTTGAAGGTCAATGTGAGCCTGCTTAATCCATTCCAAACAATAGTTTTAATCTGCATTTGGGACTATTGTCCTATTTGAAACACCCATCAGTGTCAAAGTTTCATCATCCATGATGAAAGGAAACTGGCCAGATTCTGTAGCAACACATGACGTCTTATAAACTGGAACCTGCTAAAACACCAGTTGTTCTCATCCATGGCAAAGAGAAATTAACACCAACATGAACCTGGAGGGTCCTGATCGAGAAAACAGAAAGTCCAACAACAACTTGATTAAAATTTGCAGCTTCCTCGCATGGACAAACTCATAGTAAATACGTAGTAAATGTAGTATTTTAGCACTATAAGAACAAATGACAACACTCTTGAGGAGACAAACCCGAGAACGTTGCAGCAGTGGTCAAACATGGTGGCGGGACCATCATGCTGAGGGAATTTCCTAGTGGTCCGGTACTGACGCATTGAACACAATTGGTGAAATAATAAAGATGGAGGACTGCCTCCAAATTCCTTAGTATCACCTTAAGTAATGGTTACTTGAGATGGTTAAAACTTGAACACAGTCGGGTGTTTTTCAGGAGAGTAAAAACACAAAACTGAGATCACAGTTGGTTTTGGGGGTGGTTAAACGAAGCTAGCCTTAAGCTTCTAGGATGAGTTTGCCGTTAGCCCGGTTGTACATTTTTGACCTGTGCCTAAAACCAATCGAGCAGAGACACACGCAGAACGTTTCCGAAGTCTCAGACAAAGAGATTTTTTTTTTCCTTTTTGTAAGCAAATGCATGACAAGCTGTGTGTGTGTTTACGCTCGAGCCTGTGTGTCATTTTGATGTTGTTTCAATGATGGCGACTCCTTCTGCCAATATTAACTCACGCGCTAGATTCTTGTTTTTACGTTCTGCTGTTTGCAATTCCACATGCACCAAAAAAAATGATATCAAAACAAACCATTAAAAGCCCGAAATAACAGAACGCGTGTCAGTCAATGGGAAACAGTTAAAAAAAGGAGAGAGAAAAAGTTAAATGCCGAGTGAAAAAGGGAGGAAAACACAGTTGGCAAATAATAAATCTGCAGCCTCAGAGACAATCCCTCTCTGACTATTGACTAAACAAACATCGGCCTTATTGGAATGTGGGCGTTGTTTAATTTGCAAAGCCATAATGGCAATACGTGAGTCGCTATAGACCAAACTGGAATAAAGCGAGGGGTCGTAAAACCTAATTCTAGTTTATTCCAACAGTTAAATCAAAGGCGTCTTCTCTCCAAGTTAGTAGAAATTTATGAGCCAAAGTTGCTGTTATGGAGCGCTAACTGTGGCGTTTGTCAGATCAAGCCACAAAATGAAAACGTTTCTGTGTGTCTTTCTTTATTTACCAACACGACGGTGCAGATAGGTGGAACAACAGCATTAATCACCTGATTTTAAGCTCAGTGAAGACACAAAAGCACTTTTTTTCCCTTTAAATTCTCAATCTTTTATCCAACAAAAATGTCATTTTTTTTCTTAAAATACAAAAAGTCATCAAGGTTCTCACATTGTTGATTAACTTTGATAAATGGTCAGCGAAGCTATAGGATGCTATTACCTGGCTTAACTGTATGAAACTGTAAAATGAAAGGTTTTTATTTTCCCTGATTATGTATATGTATATAAAATGTATATTTTTTGTTGAAAATACACATTTTAGATGCAACATTTCAAATGATTCTCAGTCCTAAGCTAAAGGTTCATCAAAGATGATGAATTAAAGATCAGTTTAGTGTGCAGTGGTCCAAAACGCTGTTCAACTTTTAACTCAAATTTAAAACCATGTTGAGCTGGTTCTCCCTCTTACAGATAAGATGAGGCAGGAACTCTGTGTGGCTTTAATACTCCAGAACTCAAACGTTTGACCTGAACTGGATCTGATGTGTTTGTATTATAATGTAAACACAGTTTGATCATAATTTAATCCCATAGGGCTAAACTTTAGTGAATTTGGTTATAATGAGTTTGTTGTATTTGCATAACCGACATTACTTTAGTAATACGTTGTCGCCGTGTTAACAGGCAGAATTAAATTGCTGATTGTTAAATTGCTGAAGCGACTTTCTGAGAAATTTTTTTTCTGCTTATAATAATTTATTGATCCCATACAAGTTTGACTAAATCTCCAGTTTGAACGCAGCTTCCGAGCAATGAAACCTGCAGCAGGTGTTTTTCCAGGCTTCATGGGAGCGATTTACATTTCTTGAATTTTTTTTTCTTCTTCTTCTTCTTTTTTTTTCTTCTTCTGTAGACAGAGAGGCCACCACAGTTTTTGGTAACAGAGACACAATATGACTGAAATATGAGAGGTGAACAGATGCAGGCACTCCTCCCACGTTAGAAATGTTTTATTGTGTTCCTTTATTTCCCCCACAGAATGTGGGAACTTTTGCGTTTATTAACAATGGATTCAATCTAAGTCTTTATTCGTGACAAATAAAGACACGTTTTACAAAATATTATGTAGTTTATGAATTAGTTTGGAGAAAATATGCTTCATTGTCTTCAAACGGCTCTGTCTTATTGCTTTCTTTCGCGTAAATTGACACATTTATTGGTGTAGCGTCATTCAGATTAATACAAATATATATATATATTTTGTACAAACAACTTATATATATATATATATATATATATATATATATATATATATATATATATATATACATATCCAAAAGGAAAAAATGTTGGCCTCTTGGACTAAACAGACCCTAAAGCCAATGTCAACTTACAAGTAACATTTGCAATAAATCCTATAGAAAAGTACATTTTGAGTTTCTTCTCTAATAGGTTGCAAAAGGACAAAATCTCCAAAAAATTGACTTTAAAAAGATAATGATAATAATAATAATGTTCCACTCACCAGTTCCGGCAGATAAAATATATCTGGGGCTGTGGTGCATATCTCCATTCCACTGGGCAGCGTCCCCATGGACTGAGCTGTGGTAGCAGCCATCTCTTCCTGGGCTCCTCTGAACTAACGGGGCAGCAGCAGGTGTAACCGGACCTTATACCTAAGCCAGGTTTAGCAGACAAACCCGTTCTGCTATTGCGTGTGTGTGTGTGTGTGTGTGTGCGTGTGTGTGTGTGTGGGATCCCTTCCCACAACAGCTTATCGTTGTTGGGTAACTCCAGACAGACACACCCTCCTCCCCGAGCTCCCGGCCCGCTCGCTGGTTCACCAGGAGCTGATGGTGTGTGACGGGGCTTTTGAAACATCGACAGGAGGAATGTCGTGACCCGAGGCAGCGGGCGGAGAGGCTGTGACGAACTGTGTCGCAGCCTCAGTGTGTTGCCGCTCATTGCTGAGCAGAGAAACAGCAGAGTGCGCTTTCAGGTGACCCCGACACTGTGGCCTCTGTTCGTACTGCACACACTCCCTTTTCAACAAGCTTTCCTCCAGAATAAAAGGGCTTTACTAGAGTGAGCTCATTTAATTGTCGACCTCTGGCACAAAAAAGTCTTTATTGGTGATTACATGAGTCAAGATTTTTGTATCCATAGTGAATCACTTGATCGTCCCCCAAGGGACTGAGTGAGCAATCAGCACGTGTTAGTAACCTCTGAAGTCTTTGTTGTAACCTTGTTTGTATTTGATAAACTCAAATCAAGGTGAGGCTAGCTGACCAGGGTGTTTTTAACATAACATCAGAGAAAATCTGCTCTGTCACTCTGACACGAAAAGATTTTTTAAGCTAATTCTTGGCTGATAGGAACTTCTAGAGGAAGCACAGAAAGTGTCGGGTTGTTCCTTCAACCTGAATGCTGACACAAGTCGAGTCATCTCAGGCAGACATCGGGTCAGAAATGGTCACTCAGTTTGCTGGTCCAAGAAAGAAGTCTCGTATTGTTCGACGTACGTTCATTTCATGCTGAACAGCAACCTGATCTAAAGTCACTGATATGGTTTTTATACAGGATGAAATAATAAGACATGAGATAATAAAATGATCTTGTATATTTATGGTCACATCAGTGTTTTATCAGTTATTTAATATTATTTAATAATTATTTGTCAGTTCCTGGGTTTTTAAAATGGTTTTGCTCTTTGTTTGTGTTTCTGTTTCACTTTAGCTCAGTTCTTCTCAGTGATTTTAGTTTTAATTTTTATTTATTCCTTATGTCCAGTTCCTATTTGTCAGATTTATTTTCCTACTCCCTATGTTGTGTTTAGCCGTCATTTAGGGTCATTAAGAGTACATTCTGATAAACATGTTCATCAAAATCTAGAATTACTCAATAAAGAAGAAGATACGTGTAATTAATAATCATCAGTTTATGTATCAAACAATGTATACTTCAGTTATTTGTTAAGAAAAGTCTTATTAGACATTACGGTGGCATTGCATTGACTTTGCGAATCTTGATTTACTTTAAACTAATACAAAATGTGTGCTTTTTCTTGCATTTTAATGAAAAAACATTGGACAAAACGTAAACAATCAACAAATATATGACAAAAAAATGAGGTAGGAGTAAATAAATGAAACACAGTGAGTGTTGAACTGCTGCTTCCGCGACACAAAGTCCAGACTCAGTTGTTTTTTCGACATATTTTGAAGTAGAAGTCAGAATGTCAAGTCGGTTTTACCATCACAGATAAACTTCAGTGAATACATTTCAATGTCCATCTTTTTTTTTTATTTAATTTAATCAACAAACCAACAGATATTCCAATTTTCAATCTATTTATTTTGTGACAAAGATTATCAACATGCCCTGTAAAGTGACATCATTTATTTACAATCTCAAAATCTCAACATTTGTTCCATGGTAACAGTGGATAAAAAAAAAATAGGGAAACCACACAGAATAAAAAAAAAGTGAATCAAAAACTGATTTCTTTGTTTTTTTAAATTTTATTTTCATTTATTCGTTTCATGATTTTCTCGTTTAAAATGTTAAGAAAACAGACAAAAAGAGCAAACGCAGTCGACTAGATCATGAAATGTGTCAGACGTTGAACTTTGGGGGTTTTTTTTCTAAGAAAAAACAACAAAAAACAAAAAAACTGACGTTTTGACCACTGCAATTTGACTCTACATTATTTTGTCATAATTATTATAGTTATTATCATTATTATTATCAGCAGTAATCTATTAGAATTTTACTTGATTTTACCTTCACTTTACCCCGGTGTCATAGATGTAAGGCGTTAGATGAAATTGTATCTGGTTTAGTTTTAAAGGTCTCTGCTGGCTGAGCCAACTTTTAAAAAGCTGCTTTGTGAAGGTCAAACGCAATGAAATGTTAGATGAAAGGAAAACATTGAAAATCTTTTTTTTTCCTATTTGTCAAACAACACAGACTGTCTGAATTAATGACATTTCTTTCTTTTTTTTTACGTACTTACATCAGCAGAATCACTCCGGTTTATCTCGCACAAACCTGGTCTAAATAGTTGCTTGTCATGTCAAAACAGTAACTTATATTGTGCATTATGGGTTCCATTGCTTTAGTTTTTTTTTCTTATTTTAGCCTTTTATTTTAACAGAATAGAAAAACAAAAATTTCATTATTATTCTGTGCCTCTTCTTGTGTTTGACGCCTGCCAGGGCTTCAGGTTGTGCTTCAGGCTCTCTTCCATCGGATGGCAGAGAAAATGGCGTGGAGGAAGTAGAGGAGAGTAGCCACATAGGACATCACCTGTAATGTAGAGACAGGAGTATTAAAGTGCCTGGATGCCAAAAGTCTAAATTCAAAATGGAAAAGTTACTCAGAGGATTTTAGATTTTGGATGGAAATTTGCAATCCTGTCTTTCTGATCTTGAGAATAATCCCCCTGCAGTTGTACGATCAACAGTGGATTTTAGGAATATAAAAAAAGAAAGACCAAACGACCCCACAGCAATAAATTATTTCAAAATGTTGCTCTTTTTTCTTTTTTTCCTTTTGGATTTGATCGAACGTTCACCCGGACAACAAAGAAATCTGTCGATAAGAACATGAAAAATACACATTCGGCAATCAAGGATGCTGAAGCGTGCACGCTTTCCAACTCATATTTTGTCAAAACAATTTTTGATTCGGCTTCTGCATTCCTTTGTCTTCTGTGATTGCAATCTATCGCACTCCCCATCTGGCCTTGGCAGTATTTGCCCACTTTACCCTGCAAATCAATCAGATTGCGACGACAAACCGAGACTTTATTGGAGATTACATGAGTCAAGGTTTTTGTATCGATAGTGATACAAAATTTATGAACCCTTACTAGAACATGCCCTTATTTTTCACCTGCTAAACCCATTTTTTTGTATGTCAAAAATAAGAATAGCAAAAACAAATTCTTGACTTTATTGTCAAATGGCTTCATTTTCATTACACTATGGCTTTATGCTTGTAATTTTATGACTAATACAGGAATTTAGAGAACAAAGTCATAATATTGTGACTTTTTTCTTGTAATTTTATTATGTTTCTCATTTTCTTAGCTTGGTCCTAATCCTCCATAATAATTGTGGATCGATGGGTGAAGATAAAATCACTCCTCATCTTCAGCTGTAATATTTTCTAATATCTATGTCCTAAAATTAAGGAGAAATGTTGTGTTTTGCGCACCACTGCAGAAATGTCAAGTCGGTAGATCTTCAGTCCTAAAGCATCCTTCAATATAATGGTGATGTAGGCTAACACCACCGACGCACTGAGATAGAAAACCGCCGCCACAAAATGAAAACCAGCATCCTGCAAGAGAAAAAGGAGAAAGACGGTCAACACTGAATGGCTGTTGGGAAATGTGTAGATTTGCTTGTGTTTCTAACCAGGCCGGGCCAAAAGCTGCTCTGATTGGCTCCACAGGCGAAGATGAGAAGCCACAGAGTTGTCCCGACGAAGCAGAAGACGGACACGAACATGACCCAGCCCAGAGGATTCTCCAGAATGACTCGGGTCGAGGCCACCAGGATCCACACCAAACCCCCGATGACCTGCGAGGACAGAGGAGGTTTAAAACATCCTCCCAACCTCCACCCACAAAACAGTGTGAAAAAGTCCATTTCACTCAACAAAATTTAGCAAGAAAAATCATTAAATCACTTTTTATTTTTCACTTTGTATTTGCAAGAAAATGAAGCATCTCTTTCTGTCGCCAATTATTTGTTCCTGGCCTTTAGAAGCTTTTATTTGCTCTCACTTCTGACAGTAAAATGTTCTGACTTATTGGATTTGTTTAGGCGAGTTATTTCAGCTTTATTAGCCAAAGCTGCACAGGGGCACAGCTTAAGGTGCTTTTACACTGCCGAAGGTGTTGGATTCGAATTTTAAACCTGCAAATTCCTAAAACCAGATCCAATCTGGCCTGAATTTGGATCAGAGTTCCAATTGTGAGAATTGTTAGGATTCATCTTCCATAAAAGATGGATCTTGAAGCCTTAGTGTAGATATTTAAACTGATGCACATAATATGCAAATATGCTGTCATAAAGAGGAAAAAAACCCTGTAATTATGTAGAAAGCTGACGTACCAGGCCCTCTTTTAGTCCCTAACTGAATCCAAATGTTTAAAAAAATGGCAAAATCTTCGAATTTCACAAAATGCATTTGAACATTTTTTATTAACATATTTCTTACATATTGATGAGAAAGAATATTCTGGGCTATAAAAAGCACACACCAGCTTATACATTCTCGGCCCTGTCACTGTTCTGTGTATCGTTTCAGTTTCTCTTCTCCTCCTTTGACAAACATTGGGCGTAAAAGAGCGTCAGGCCGAAACACAAGGCTGAAGCAAATGGACATCCATCAGATGTCCATTTGTTCTCTTGTCCTTCTGCAAACATTTAGTTTTCTCGCTCTCTGCATTTTCAAAAGGTAGTTTTGTTACAAAGCTCAGCGTGTAAGTAGAGAAATTAAAAACCACTGTGTCTCTTTGAAGGGCTCTTTTATTTAAAATCTTCCTCAGCGTGGATGGAGTGTAAATAATATTATTGAGTAGTGAAACTGGTGCTTATTTGTTTAAAAATGACACAGATAAGTCCTTCCAGTTTGTCACAAATCCGCAAAATCCACACGAAAACCAACAGATCCCCAAATTTTTTCTGACTTTGCAGAAAATCGTTCTCAAGATTGGCCAAAAACATCGGGTTTAAGTGACTGCTGCCTCAGACTTAGTTGATGTCAAGTTGGAATCTGTCACTGATTAAAATAAAAGTCACGTTTAGCGTCTTACATTAGCATAAGTATTGTCAGAATTCTTCGCAAATATTTCTAAGTTGTCGCCACAAAATCTGCGACAGTGATTGAAAAATACCACAAAAACAATGTGAAGAGATGTCTATTATCATTATCATTATATTGCACAGTCTGGTAGAACTCAGCTTCAATTTTTTGGGGGGGACATAAGTCCAAATGAAATTATTGGCGCTGAAACAAGACGACGTCACTGCAAGTGTAACTTTTCTTCTTGTTGAAGTGGATACAGTTGAGAGATGTCCTCTCAGGCTTAAAGATGTGGGGAATATCTGCAAGGTGGCATGGACAAACGATAACAGTTCACATCAACCAGTCAGTTAACAGGGATGTGTTGACTTGTGAGAGTCGGCGTCTTAGAAGAACACTGAATTTAAAGAAATCTCCGACAAGAAGCAGCGTTTCCCCATCCAGTCGTTCTTGCACTTTTGCAGAAACTTACAAATCCCCCTCAGCTCGTCCATCCGGCAATTAAGAAACTCCTCTACAATGAAAAAGCCACACTTTGTTTGCGGCAAAGCCCCTCTTGAAACTCAATAAAAACCTTTGCGCAAACATTGTTGTTGGAGAAACTATTCACACGTTCCTTTCAAACCAGGCAGAACTTCCTGCAGTTTGCCCCACAGGAATGCGCCGAGCCCTAAATCAAACAACCAATCTGCAAACATTTCTCAAGAATCGTTCGTTCCTTTAATTCCATGAAAGCAGGCTTTCCTCTTTGAAGTGACCTGTCCCTGCAGGGTGGTGGATACGTCTCGATGTCTTTGTGTGAGTGACAGGAGGTGTTTCTGCTGTGAACGACGCAGTTGGATCAATTTATTCAAATAACATGAACAACAAAGAGGCTCATATTTGTTAGAAACTTGACATTTTTTACCAATGATATGTTTAAGAGTGACAGATATTTAAAAAAAACAGCAAAAAAAAAAAGTTCATATCTGACATTAAGAAAAGCAAAACAGTCTGTCAGACAATTCAGTCCAGAAATGAGAGACAGAACAAATTTGTTCTGGACAAACATGACAGCTTCGTTCCACGAAGACGAAGAGCACAAAACTTGTATTGTTTCTTCTCACTGTCAGCTGTATCTATTGCCAAAAGGAACTGTGGCACAGTTCGGTAAATTTCTGAGAAAAACAAACAAAAAAAAAAACTACAGAGAAGCCTTGAAATGTTTGCAGTTTGATTCCACTGAAACCAAGACAGACGCCGTACTTCACTGACTAGTCCTGTCATGATCTGGAGTTTTCTTTTCCTAATAATACCCAGGTTTTGCCTGAGAGCTCTTCCTGTTAACAGGGAAGTTTTCCTTCCCACTGTCACCACAAGCATGGAGGACTGCATCAAAACTAGCAACCAGATCCAAACAACTTTCCACTGATCCCAGATGATCTCTCAGGAGGAGCAGATGATGCAAGGTTTATTATGAACCATATCAATAGAATGAATCAAATGAACTGAGCAAACAGACAACAACAGTAACAAAAGAGCCATTAACAGTGACAGTTTTCATTGTTTGCTTCTTTCATGTTGCTTTTTTAAGCTGTAAATGATCATGAAAGTAACATAGTGTCACACATTTTATGTCCATTAAACAGTGAAATATTTTGGGTTTAAATAGTACTTTTGTGTCTCGTTTGTTTTAAATTGCAGCACAGTTTGTATTGCAGCATATACAGCTCTGTAAAGCCCATTGAGAACCTCCTGGTTAATCCAACAGGTATTGAATTCTGAACTCTTTCTGAGTTGAAACATTAGTATTGTTGCTTCTAAATGAATATGAACCTGTTTTATTTGCATTATTTGAGGTCTGGAAGCGCTGCACCTTTTTTCCTTATTTTGACCATTTCTCATCTTTTGCAAATACATTTTTTGCTTGGAATTTCGGAGGAATGTTGTCAGCAGTTCATAGAACAGAAGAACAATGTTCATTTTACTCAAACTATCCATCCATCCATCTATCTATCTATCTATCTATCTATCTATCTATCTATCTATCTATCTATCTATCTATCTATCTATCTATCTATCTATCTATCTATCTATCTATCTATCTATCTATCTATCTATCTATCTATCTATCTATCTATCTATCTATCTATCTGTCTATCTATCTATCTATCTATCTATCTATCTATCTGTCTGTCTGTCTGTCTGTCTGTCTGTCTGTCTGTCTGTCTGTCTGTCTGTCTGTCTGTCTGTCTGTCTGTCTGTCTGTCTGTCTGTCTGTCTATATATATATATATATGTTGCATGGTGATATAAATCTATCAAATATTACAAAGACATCTATCATAAAATGTGAAAAATGTTTAAATAAATATATTTCTGTACAAATAGAACTGGATTGATCAAAACAGGTGACTTTCAGATCACCGTGCTGTAATAAACTTTATTAACAACCACTTCAGCTCTCGTTTTAGGGTAAAGGGACCCGGCTCGGCCCGCTTGTGTCACTGTTTAAACGGTCGGGCCACAAAATAAACCAAGTGACCCGATGGCTGGTTTAGATTTACACCCTGCTCTGCAACCATATCTGCATAGCGCAGGTGTTTTTCCACCTGTGTTGCAAAGATTTAATCTTCCATGTTTCCTGGTGCAAAACAAAGAAACAGGGAAAGAGAGAGAGAGAGAAGTCAGGAATCCAGGTGTCATCCACACCTTTATTAAGAGAAATGGGAAAGCTTCAGCAGCCAATGAAACTAATGACTTTGCAATCCTCGTTAAGAGTGATAAAAACGTTACAAACCTTTTGTATTATTGTTTTATTTAACATTTCCATATGCAGTTTAACATGGTGGTGTTGTTAAAACTTTATCCAAATTTCTTACGACCTGCTGCGCTTCTATCTTTAGCTCTTTTGGTTATTTGCAAACCTGAGGTCTTGTCTGTTGAATATCAAAGCTAAAAGTCGCTTAAAACGGCAAATATGCATTTTACCTTTTAAGTCATTTCGGCATCACCACCCACAACGACCTCAATTTTAAACATCAACGACTGATAGAAACATCAAAGATACACGGTTAGTTAGTGCAAAACTTGTGTTTGACTTTCCAATAAATTGCACGGGCATACACCCCAAAAAACATGGCCGCCTCCGATCTACACGTTATTGTTTAGCTGTGGAAAACAATAATGATTGCTGGGTTGTTGGTTTTTTTTTTCCTTCTTTCTGCTGCTAAGGTTGTCAGAAACAATAGGTCATTCAGGCCAAGCTACATAAACTCAGACCGTAGCCATGTTGTCCACCATTTGCCAACAATCATTAATAATAATTTTTAAAAAAACAATTGTAATTTAAGTTGATTTGAGGTGTTTACTTAGTTTTTGGTTTAGCTTAACAAGTGAAAGTTCTCATTATTCTCACCGCTGGATGCTCATGTTAAAGAACCAGCCCAACATCACATTGATTCTGTTGAAACCTTGAGGAAAAGACAGAGTCACGGTGATTCTGAGTGAATCACTACTAATAAAAGATAACGTCCTGGCAGATAAAGAAGGAGTGGTCAGAGTCAGGGCTGTTAACGCTGAATGCAATGCGATAAAGATGAAAACCCGAAGAATCAGCCGGTGACCCCAGAATGACACTTACCCACTCGGGGATGAAGAAGAGGTCAGGAACGCTGGTGAAGATTCTGGCACCGGTGGGCAGAACATCACCCGAGGTGGTGGAAGCCATAGTCCAAATTTGAACGTGAGGGTGTGTGCTTGCGCGTGTGTGCGTGTGTGTGTCCTCCCAAATGTGATGCACAAATGGTTAGTTTTCTGCTCTTTAAAGGGCGTTTTTCTCTCCTGCTCTGTCTTCCTTCTGCACCTCCCTCTGCTTCTCCTCCCCTCCACCTACGCATCCATTCCCCGACGACCTGTTTGGCAGGTGATTTTAGTTGGCTTTGTTTGTGCAGCATTTGGACACTCTCAGAGCACAGTGTGTGTGTGTGTGTGTGTGTGTGTGTGTGTGTGTGTGTGTGTGTGTGTGTGTGTGTGTGTGTGTGTGTGTGTGTGTGTGTGTGTGTGTAAGTGCTTCGGTGCGGAGTCTTCATGTCTGTGCCCTCATCTTTCTTCCAGTGCCTGTTGACATGTCACCATAAACGTCAACGTCGTTTACACGAACACAAAAAGAGAGAAAGTGATGCCTTTTTCATTCATTAGTTTGGATACTTGAAATTATTTTTATGGAAAAAACCCCAAAAACCTTTGCTTACAGTACTTCTATTTAAGAGCGTCATTACCCCGTCATCAATTTGTTTCTTCTTTCTCCATTTTTTTACCAGACTTCTTGGCGGTGTGTTCAGGGTCGTCATCTATTTAAAACCCGAATCTGTGCTGAAGTTTTAACGTGCAGGACGTCACCAATAGATGTTACTCTAATATTTTCTCATCATGTTGTTTTAATGAGAACGCCATCTGTTCTCAGCGAGGAACGTGATGCCGCCACCCTTTTGTACTTCACAGTGAGGAAGTACAAAAGGGTGCTCAATTATTTTCTCTATTTTTTTGTGTGAAAACTGACAGCGCACATGTTGCGAGACCAAAAAGAAAAAAAAAAAAAAAAAAGTGGCTGCAAACTTTTTCTCCCTTCGTTGTATTCAATATTTTTTCAAAGCCAGGGCTCTCTTAAACATAAGATACAGTTATGTTTCTACACATCATATTCATCTACCAAACCATAACTTCCAAATGATATGCAATGAGCAGGCGGATAAGATTCGGTCAGTTTGAAACGGACTAGGTTTTTTCATTCCAATGTGTCATCCTGTCATCAGATGAAATCACATAGAAGATAATCACATAGAATATAACACCAGTCTAATTATAAAAGTCATATAAGGTCTACATGCCCAGTTTCTGAAGTGCAAAGTTTAATCCCTGCCGCTCCCTACTCATGTTAAACAAATAAAACTTCTTCAAGTTCTATGGCATGCCGATTGGAAAACCATTGAATGAGTGAATAGGTTTCTTTTTTCCTACGTTATTTGACTGACCTTTGAACTCAATAACAGCTTGTTTGCACAGGGCCTTACTAAGCTGCACTGCAGTTAAACTTGTATTTTTATTAGCTTTGCAATAAAAAAAAACCCATCAGTCACTGAAAACCTCAGTGAGTAACAAAGATGCGGTCGATCGCTTGGCACTGGTAGGATAAAGAGAGGATACGACTGCCTGGGTCTGCAACATAATGCTGATCCTACACACTGTGTCAGGGTGCGTCAGTCCAGGATGTCAGTATATCCATTTATATTCACGTGAAAACAATTATCACACCCCAGGACAGCTGAGAGTCTGCTTATTTCTACGCATGAATAGTCAATGTCAATTTTAGCACACAGCAGAAAAATTCTGAAAATACTATATATATATATAATTTTTTTCATCCTTCCACTGAAGCACTGCCAGTGCTTCAGTGGAAGGATGACTCATCACCGCCTCGGTTTTATCCAAATGTCCATTGCTGTTTTTTTGAAAGCTAAATTTCCCACTGAGTTCACCAGTCTGACCCTCTTCATTCATGTTTCCACTCAGGTTTGAGCCTCCCCACTGATGACCGTGGTATAAGAACCGTGCCGCGCGCTTCTTTGAGCTGCGTGACCCTCCGCTGGAGAGAGGCGTTTGGGTCAAAGTAGGCAATGTGATTAGTCTGCATTATGTAACACTGACAGGTTAACGTTGGCAGCCCTAGTACATCAATTCATACAATTCTAAAGAAGTCCGTCAAAACATAAATCCACAGCGAAAGATGAGGTTTGACATTTTGGCAACCTCAAAATGTAAACCCATCTGACATGTTACAACAAATTATACACAATACACAATTCTAGGTTCTTCCTCCATTTGCTGGTGATTTAAATGCTGCATACTGTCCTCGTGTGTCCAAATAAACTCAGCATGATTATATTTTTCACTATTTGGGGAAGAAATCTCCACATAGAATCTCCACAGTATTCTGGATTACCTTTACTATATGTTTCGAATGATGACTCAACGATCTTATGCTTGTATTTTATTTACTCATCGAAACAAGCCTTGTTAAAAGACACACCTTGCACTGGCTCTTTGCATTTGGCTCTGGTTACAACTCCTCACCCCATCACACACACACACACACACACACACACACACACACACACACACACACACACACACACACACACACACACACACACACACACACACACACACACACACACACACCTCCATGGGAACTTTGCCAGCTCTTGGAAAATACAATAGATATTTGTCAGGGTCAGGTGTCGCTCAGCGGTGTAATACTCATCCAGGGGGAACGACAAAGAATGCATTGTGCATTAAGGCCTCATTGAAAAAGTTCCTCCACAAAACGTCACGCATTCCATCAGTGACAAATGTAGAAAAACATAAAAACTTCACGGCACCTCCACTGTGATCTCCGGCGTAACGATTCAGCGGATAAGAAAAGGCAGCGCAAACCAAATGTTAACACGACGGTCAAAGCCTTGGTGTTTGTACAATTTTGCTCTGGTGAACTTCTGTGAGCTCCAGGGGAACGAAACTGTGGCTAACCTTTGACCTCTGCGAAAGAAACACTATTGCCTGATCCATATCTCAGATCAACAATCTCAATCCCTGTTTGTGTTCCTCTGACGTTTGCTTGTCAAATTTAAAAGTACAATTTGAATATATTAAAAGTACTTTTTATTTTATTTTTTGATGTAATATTCTTGAATCTTATGTTTTCATTAGCTTTAAGTGGAAAATCCTCATAATTCCAAATTTTGCATATGTATTATTAAGTATGCCTTTATGCAGCTTGGGAAAGCCATGAACATCAGTGGACTTATATTAAATCAGGCTTGATATGTAAAGGTTTCTAAAGCTTTTCTCGTCCTTCGGTGCAATTTGCAGGCGCCTGACGGCGATACGTTGGTTTATTCACACTGTTCTGGACAGAGACGGGTTTTGTGTCCCAGAGTTGTATTTGCTTTGGACTGAAATGCAGAACAAAGGGGAAAAATGTCCTTGTGAAAATGTTGACTGAAGCTTGTAAGACAGTAAAATTAGGCCTACACTTTATGGGCTGAAAGACCTTCATTTTTTGGAGACATGTCCTGTGGTCTGATGAAAATTAAAAAGAGTGTTTTGGAAATACTGACCGTGGTTACATTTGGAGATGAAGAACACCATGGAAACAGTGAAGCACAAAGGGAAAGGCGAAGCCTCTAAAACTGATAGCATCGCTGGGAAAACAAAACATTATGAGAAACTTTGAAGTGCATCAGTTGAAGATTGGACACAAGTCCAGTAGACACTAGTCCGGAAGGACAAAAAGTCTACTTTTGGACGTTTTCATCACAAAGTCCTCTGTCCAACAGAATCTTAGTGGGCAGAACTGAAAAGCTGTGCCAACAAGGGAAATGGCTCCTTCCATCTGTCTTGATCTGTGATTTATTCCAACAGCATACCTTAATTGAATAAATATCGGTGAAAAAGCATTTATTTATTAGCTCTCCTGGTTTGGTTGACAGTGTTCACTTATCTGTAAACCCAGGTTTTTTTTCTCCCACCTCTACAGACATTCTGCCTCCTCCTCATTGACAATGATTGTCTTGAGGCACAAAGGCAGAACTGGGTGAGAGCGTCTCAGTGTTTCCAGCTGACAATAGTAATCAGACGTTCTGTCCTCTCAAAGTACCACTCCTCTCACAAGAAGTAAGCACTGAATAATATGCGGAGGGACAACTTTTCAAAATTTCACCCGATTTTGTTTTCCGGTAGTCGTTTTAAAAGGTTCAGACTGGCGGATTACCCTGACCAGCGATTCGGCAGGATTTTCTGAAGAATCTTTATTTTGTCCATTTTCAGCTCGATCCGGTCACAAAGGGAGCCAAACTATTGCCATGGTAACAATGGCGGAATGTGGAAACAGGATGTGAAATATGATTCAGCTGCAAACACAGAAACTCATAAGGACTCTGAGTGCGTCTGAACACAGAAGAACCACTCCAGGGTTTGGAGCTGGGGCTCAGAGATGGGCATCTGAACTGGACCTTTCTTTAAGCTTGCTGTCAAATGAGCTAAGTTTAGAAACATGCAAATCGCTAACATAATACACAAAATCAATAGTTGTGGTGCTAACGTGTTGTGTTTTTAAGCTCATTGTTATGGGAAATATGCTGTTAAATAAATACAAATATTGCATCTTTTTTACGTTAGTTTACTGTTTCAGTAAATAACACATTACAAATGTCCGAGCAAGACTCAAACATTGATCAGACATTCAATAATCTCTACTGTATATGATTTTTATTTATTCTAACATTACACAACATATTTTCTGTAGCATTTATATGTCGCTTGGGATGTGTGAGCGAAAGCATCTGAGCTCACACTGACCCAACCTCCCACTGCTCCTCTGCTTTTATACCCGGCTAAAAAAAAACCTCACGCCAGCTAATTGTTAACTCTAAACACTGTTCTGCTGTCCTGTAACTCTACACTGCACACACACACACACACACACACACACACACACACACACCCCACACACACACACCCCCCCCACACACACACACACACACACACACACACACGACTGATGTTGAACTAATGGGTGGAGAAGACTGGAGCTTCTCAATGTCAGAGGACACAGCTGAAAGAGCAGCTCAGGTAAATGCTGGAAGAAACCAACAAAAGTTCTGTTATGAAAAATTTTAGTAAAAAAAACAAAAACAAAAAAAAACAATAAAATATGCAAACATTGTGACTTTTTACTGTTATATTACT